CATCCAGAATACTGCTCTCGTTCCTTGCTGCGCGGCCGTGGCACGCCACCTTTCTCTGTCCGTTTGCCCGGGAGTAAAGTAATGCGTAACCTGCTGCCCGGGGGTCCCGTGAGGCTAAGGAAAGCTCAGGCGGCACGCCGCACGTCGAAAACACCGCAGGCGTTACTCTTCCTCTTCACGGTGGGGAAACGGCGTTAGTTTTGATCTAGTTCGTGCCTTGCATTTTCCGGGGGATATCTTGTTTGGCTAAAACCTTTATTTACCGCCATATAAACTTGTAATCGCCCAATCTGGAGTCCAGATTATATAGTAACGCGCAGTCTCAGAAAATACAAATTACGACGACAGGGCCTTGGCTGTCCTGACGCCTAATGTAGTTTACACATAACAAGCAAAGCTTTCGAGATGAATAATTCTAATAAGCCAGAACCTAACCGAGTTCCTCTTCTGTGATGTCTCTATGAACGTCTGAGTGATTCATTTACAGTAGTGTTGAACCTGGCTCTTCTGTTTTGGTCACTGAACAAACGAGAAAAAGTACACCTTGTTTAAAAAATAAAAGCGTATACGTGTAATGAATGCAAAGTTGAGGACCTCTCACAGCTGGAAGTAGCAGCAATGACTTTTAACCCTGCCACAGTCAGAGCCAAAAGCAGCCAGCCTTCCCTTTGTCTCACATACTTCTCCTTTTCCTTTTGTTTTTTAAGTGGGAAAAACTGTAAGCTACAGTCTGCAAAAATCTCCCCAGAGAGAATGAAGCCTAATAGTATGGAAAGGAGTAACTTTGCGCTTATGGATAAACCATTACTGTGAAAAATTTAAGATATGCCAGTGAAATTGTTCCTTCAGTTAGTTCCTAGATGCTAGTGAGGTGTTAGCACAGCTCAGATCAGGCAGAGCATGTCTTTGCCCTCACTTATCTACGCTGGGAAAATTTTACCTGCTGGAGTCAGTATCCTCTGGTTCTTGGTAGCAAGGGAGGAAGAAAGACTATAGCTTATTTCTAAAATAACAGGAGGTACTCAAAAACAACCATTACTGAGGCCTTAAAATAACTTGTTAAGTTGGAATCTTCCCAGACAAGAAACTGGGAATTTTAAAATGAAAACAACAACAAAAAACACTCATTCAGATGTTTTATGATTCAAAAATGCTTAAAATTAGCAAATACGTGAAACTGCAAAAACTGAAGAGCTGAAAACAGTCTACTCTTGTTGGAACAAACCCAACAATACTGCTATTAAGGAAAGTTGGGAAGAAGGGTATGGAAACTTTCATGTGAGCTAGACATATTATACGGGTTCAACAGTCACCCTAGCTAACTGCTTTCATGGCAGTTGCACTACTCCATCGACTGTATTATAGCTCAAGCATTATAACACACCAGTACCTGTACAAACATTCTCACAGGGGCTCTAAAAATTCATTACCCCTGAGTATGCAAGCACGCCCAATAAAAGTTTAGTTTCCATGGTAATTCATGTAAGTGAAAATCAAATGTTGGAACATCTGCAAAAAGTGCGTTTTAATCAGGAGCATCGACAAATGACGATAACATTTCTTGGTACCTCATCAGTGGCATGCTTCTGTAAGAAGGAAGGAGAGAGCTCTGCGGCTGCTTCAGAAATGCCGTCATCTCAGAGCAGGCTTCCATAGTCCCAGTCGCTGCATTACCTGGTCGCTTAGCATTACAGATTACATGAGGTGTGGCCACGACTGCATTTCTGTCAAATGAGCCAGAGCCTGCCTGCAGGAGCTGGTGCAGGCTTTATGCTAGCTGCAGGAGGACGGACAATACCCAGTCTGACATAAAGTCCATTGAGATGAAGCTATCCATTGAAGACTTTGGGTGTAGCTACACCCCGTCTATTCTGTGTCTCAGCAGCTATGGCTGAGACCAAGCCTACCTTTCGTGAACCCTCTTTGCCACTAGGCAAAAACAGATTATTAAATTTCACCATTTTCAAACAAATATGTGGCTACAAACGGGGCCCTAATGATTCAGTGCTCTGCATCATGTAACCAGAGCATTCAAATGCCTCAGTGAAGAAGCATAGCTGTTGTTTATCATTGTAAAATAATACTACACAATTGTTTAGAGCTCAGAAAATGATAAAAATTGTTGCCACCAGAACTTCTGGTAGAACTTCAAAACAAGTTGCGATTCTTCTGTTGTAATTTCACCAAGATTTTTTGAGACAGTGTAGTAGGCTGGATCCTAGTTACTGAAAGCACTTGATTTTTAAGGCTTGCTGGGAAACTCTGCTGACAAAAAGGCAACCTGGAGCATGACTGCATTCATCAGTACCATTCTGGTGAAAAAAAAAATCATGCCCAAAATTTACACTGGTTAACAAAGTTAAAATCTAAAAAAAATCTATTAATCCAGCACATAATACAGAAGTGTATCAAACAATAGGAAATAAGATAAGCTGGAGCGTCAACCAGGGGAGTGTCCTTGTGACTTGGCCCGAATCTTTCTTAAGTTGTCACACAAGAGGTATCAACAAGAAACTGCCTAAGGAAAGTAAGTTACATGGGTAATCAAATTTCATGCTCCAGGGCACAAGTCAATTGCTGGAAGGGTCAAGAAAGGAATTTCATCACTCTCCTCCTTAGCACAGTCACAATTAACTAGGTTGTAATTGCAAGGCAAGAAAGGGGTTGGGTTTTGCATTCCTCTGAATCATCAAGCATTGGCTGCTTTTGCAGTTGAATTCTAAACTAAAAGGATCAACGTAGTATGTCCTGTGTCAGCGTTTTGTTGCCCTTATATGAGACTTTGTCTAGTTGCGGTGCCATCATGAGCTTCGCTCTTCTTTTGATGATAACTACTTAGCTCAGAGTATGGCTTTATTTCAGAACTACCTTTAAAGAGTGAAGACTTTACTAGTTTAAGCAATTAGCTTTTTTGTTAATAATGAGTAGTCACCTTAAAACGTCTCTATCAATAAACTGTACAACTCCAAAGTACTCATGTAACTCATGCAGTGTTTGTATAGCCATAATGGCCTAAAGATATAAACAGGGCAAGATCTGTAGGAATAGGTAACAGCTTTGATACTACATCCTTTTAGTCTGATAAAAAATCATGCTATTTCTTACTTAAGTAGAATATTTAGTAATCAAAAGGATTTTTGCTAACACAGGCCAGACGTTACTCCGCCTCAAATCACAAGAGCACGACCCTATTAGCTTGTGTATGGCTATCTGTTTTTGTAGCTGATTAATTGCTTCCCTTTGCTAGGATGAGCCTGTGAATGAGGATGGCTTATGATTTAACTATTCAACTTTGATACTGTAGCTAAGCTCACTACAGCGTCATTTAAGTTTTTCTATACACAAGTACGTTTTTAGATAGTTCTATGAGCAAACATGTTGAAAACTCCGAGGATTAGGCTCTGCAGGTAACGTTTCCCTATAGCTGTTAAGCCAGTAAGTGAATGATTGGCAGAAGACACGGTGCAAATGCAGTAATTACACTGGTTCACAATTACAACTACAGACTAGCACCGCAATTCATCTGGTACTCAGTGGCTGGATACAAGGGCATCTTTATCCTATGGCTGCCCCTTCTGGACCATCCTTTTCCCAGCAAGCAGTGAGTTGATTCATAAGTTACCATACACACCATAGTTTGCGGCCCTTGTGATTTGTCTCTGATGCCAAGCCAAGGCAGTTATCTGCTCCCCTTTCGTCTCTGTCATTAACAAACCTGGATGCAGACATCTACACGTCTGAAAATGCATTGGGGTCATGTAAGCAAGATAGTACTTTCTTTAGTGCCAAACGAGAAACAACAAGTAAAAACTTTTAAGCCACTTGTCCAAGGTTACACAAGAAACCTCAGCTGGGACAAGGCATTGAATGTA